AAATTGTCTCTTGCCCATGTGTGTTTTCTGCTTTATGTTATGTCATTGTTCTTTTTCTTATGAACTACTGTGAATGCTTTATACGTTAAGATTAACCCTATGTGATGCTTCTCAGTTTGTATTTGAATATGACATTCCCTGTGGGTTTTAATTTTCATATAGTCAAATAGATCATTCTTTTTATGGTTTTGAATTGATTATATAAAAAAAAGTCTGTCACCAGTCCAAGGTCAAAAAGAGGAACATAATTTATGTAGGGTTTGCCTTTAATGAACACTTATCCTTGACTCTGAATGGGTGGCTAATTTCCATAAACATTTTTGTCCTGATCTTCCATTGGTTAGTGAAGATTCAAGTGTGAGAAATTATAGCAGCTAGGCACTGGTAACAGTGGGAACCGAATGCATATTCGGAAATGGGTGTCCTTGTTTTCATGGAGTCCATAGTTCAGGGACAGGCAAGGTGATTATGAGGCTATAAATTAAGCATCCTGGTACAGGATGTCCTTGCAGGTTCTGCCACCAGCTGAGTGATCCTGGGCAAGTCATTTACCTTCTTGTGTCTGTTTTTGCATCTTGTCAGGTGCCCAACAGCCCAGCTGTGAGAATTGAGATGACAGTCATGGCTGTCCTTTGCAAGAATCACCAGCAGTGCATTCCTGCACAGGCTACAGGTCCTCACCATCCGTCGTGCCTGCTCTGGCTTCTGGCATTCAGGAAAGCATCTTCTCAGAAATGCCTTCTTTTTTTAAATTTGAAGACGCTTGTCTTGACTTGTGCTTCTATAACAAAATGTCATCAACTGGGTGGCTTAAAGGAGAGGAATGTATTCCTTACAATTCTGGAGACTCAAAGTTCAAGATCATGTTGGTAGCACAGTCAGTAACTGGTGGGGGATCTTCGGGTTACACTTGGTCTTTCCCTGGTGTGGGTAAGGAAGGAAGATTTCATCTGTTTTCTTTTTATAAGGACACTAATCCCATTATTTGGGGCCAACCCTCATGATCTAATTTAACCCTAATTACCTCCTAAAAGGCCCCATCTCCAAAAACCACCACACTAAGAGCTAGGGTTTCAACCTATGGATCCCTAATGGGCTGGTGTCTGGATCAGGCTAATGGTTCTGTCTCCTTGGCATTATGCTCATGCTAATTGGTATTCAGTGAGGCTGCAGGGTGGAGAGAAGAGCACTTTCCCCTGAGAAGATTCTTCCGGGCTCTGGGTATGGAAAACACAAGTTGTGGGATGGGGATTAGTGGCTCTGAACCAGGAAACAGATTTCAGGTGGAAGATTGGCAGGTGCAAGAAGATGCAAGACATAGTTAGGAGAGAGGTCATGCTTTATTCATTGGTGGCCATGGCTATTAACTAGCCCCCAGCCAGTTCCATTTTTAGCCCCTCTTGCCCCCCAAGTCTTTTCCGTAGGCCCATTTTATATGCAGGCCAAACATAGAAGGCACACTGCCAATGGGTTACATAAGGGGCTCATGCTCACAAGTCAGTGTTTCTGACCTTGAGTGTGTATCTGAATCACAGTGTTTCTGGCCTTTACTAACCATAACATAGTCGTTACCAGCCCTGGCTACACACTAAAAACATAACATAACCCACCAAATGTCTTGGTGAAGGAATGTAACTATAGCCATTTTTGGCCTTTCCCAATACCACAGAACTGCTAGAAATTTGAAAGCTGGTTTGGGGAGAGGGACTTTGGCAGGTATACACCTGTCAGGCCCTCCTTGGGTTCTGCTGCAGAGTTTATTTTTTTCCAAGACATATTAGTTCAGCAGTCGTGAGCCATACTCTGGAGATTTTGGTGAAACTCAAAGATGGCCAGGGTCTCCCCAGAGGGGATTGTTCCTTCAGGGCCAGGCCTGGGAGCAGAGGGTTGTTGGTAGAAATAATCTATAGACAGGAAAACCTGCCTTTTTCATATTGTCTGTCCACATTTTTAGCTTTCAAATACGTATATTATGACACTCACTTTGTGCCAGGCATGAGGTCTTTTGAAATAGCCCTTTGAAGGCTATGTCAGGGTTCAAGCAGAGAAGGGAGACTACTAAAAGTGATACAGAATAAAGCACTTGCAGCAGGAATGAGACTTTATATGGTGGCGGTTGCTGGTGAGTAGTCCCTATAGTGCTGCCAACTCTCCTGAGGATGAAGTTGGGCCTGAAATCAGCAGGCTGGTGGTCAGGAAAGACCTGGGTGTGCAGTGAGTGGGCAAGCACAAACTGGTGCTGGGAAAGCCCACCTGGCACGGCACCTGACCTTTACTCTCTCAGCTTCTGAGCACAGATAACCTGCAGAAGAAGCTGGGAGCTCTTGCTGTGAAGCTGTCAGAGGGCCTGGCTTAGGCCTGGGGTAAGTTTCAGAAGGTCTTCCAAGAAAGTGGAAGAGGACAGTGGGCTGGCTGCTGCCCTCCCAGGTGAGCTGGCTGCTGCCCTCCCAGGTGAGCCTGCCATCAGCACACACCTGAGCTGCAGCAGTGACTGGATGCCTTCATGACCTTCAGGAATTAAAGGCTGCCGTTCCCCTTTCACTTCCCTCTTGTCACACAGACATCCCTGGGACCAACTTGAACTTGGAAACATTTAGGAAGAAATTTCTGAGGCACGTAGCCAAGCTCTGTGCTCGTGGTATGTGGTCACAAGGGATACTAGGATTTATTTCCTTTTTGTAGAGAGGGACACCAAGAGAGGAAAATGGGGAGGGGAGCTGACTTGCTCACAATTGCACAGGTAATAAGTTGGTGCCTGGAACGGCTGCCCAACACTCCCACTTTATGACATCAGGAACCCACTCCCTGTCCTCCAGGAGTGGACCTCAGAGTTGCCCAGTCCATGGAGGGCTTTTCTAAGAGGTTAGTTCTCGGGAGAAGAAAGGACCTCAAGACCCCACGCCCCTTGATAAGCCACTGTGGATCCTAATTCCCTTCTCTGACAGGTCTTTGCATTCTATCTGGAGTAGATTTTTCTAGGTAATAAGTTGCCTGTGTTCCTTTTATAGGAATGCTTACTTTACTTTTTCCAGCTTCCCAAGAGTACTTAATTTAGCCTTTGGTGGAAGAAGTGTGTAGATAATGTGTGTGGATCTTCAACAAGAATCACTACTTTTATTGCAAGTCAGCTGCTTAGCAGCATTTCCCTGTCCCTTATGGAAGAGAGAACTGAGAGTACAGAGCTGGACTCTGAAATCCTAGTAAGGGGAAGTCTGAAACTGAGCAGATCTCCCAGGCACATCCCCATGCTGTGGGTATCCAGGCCTGCCCATCAGCAGTGAGCTGCCTGAATTGGCAGCCCCAAGACAGGACCAGAGCCATGGGTGACTCTTCTTGAAATGTGTCTGGGGAGGGAAAGGAGGGCACACCAAGTCCCAGTTCCCAGAACTTATGTGGGGTAAGCAGACTTGATCCATCTCTAGAAATGTAGGGGTGAGTCAGGCTTTGCTTGGAGAGAGACGGAATAGAGCCAGAAAGCCTTCCAGCCCTAGGTAGCAAAGTGATAACTCAGATGTCTCCTATGGCCATGGTGCATTTATCCACAATGCTATTGACAAAGCTGGGGACTTGATTGTAATCTCCCTGTATTTCCACTGAAGGTCTTTTTCTGGATCTCACTCAGGACACCATGTTGTGTTTGGTTGTCACATCTCCTCAAACTCTTGTCCAGGACAGTTTCTGGGTCCTTCTGCATCTTCCTGACCTTGACATCTGGTCAGGTATCATGTCCAACTTGCTTCAATGTTTCTCACAATTAAACTTGAGGCTTTATTTTTTGGGGTAGAACATCATGGAGGTGAAGGGCCCCTCCTGTCACATCACGTTGCAGGGCTCATATCAACACGAGTTAAGAATGGTGACATTAGCCTTGGTCACTTAGTGAGGTGGTGCCCTGGGCTTCTCCACTGTAAAGGTGCTAACGATTTTCCCTTTCCAACCCTATTTGTTAGATTTGAGTCACTATGTCTAGGTCATGCTCAAGGGAAGAGAGTGGGGAGGGGGGATTGATTTCCACAGTTGGAAGGAAGGAGTAGCAGAGAATTCCCCAACACACATGGTTAAAGCTACTGCAATGCCATCGACCTGTATTTTGCGAGAGGTACCGTGATGCTACATTGATATTTCTTTCAAATGATCTGTTCAGTTTTGAGCCCAGGCCGAGTCTCTTTTCTCAGTTTCTGTCATTAAGCTAGTGAATTTATTAATAAAATGCTTAAGGAGAATCCTATTTCTTTGTGGATGTGTGATGCCATGTCCTATTTCTGCTGGCAGCTGCATTTTAATACTGGAGAATCTGGAGGCTGTGTCTCATGGGACTGAGGCGTGGGAGCTCAGAGCTGAACTGAGTGGGCCTGATGTCAGGAGGTGGTGGTGTGTGGGTGACTCACTCATTTGCTTGCAAACTTAAGGTAACAACTCATAGGAAGTGTTAAGGTAACGTCAATAGCAGACTGTATTTTTAGATGCCATTTTTCCCCACCCGGAAGGCTTTATTTCAACTCTCAATTGTGTGAATTGAAGAAAAAAAAAAAGTTTTAAGGAACTCTGGTCATAATTAACCCTGTGGTTATTTCAGGTGGCTCTGTGTTGAAAGGTACTTAGGCCTGTAATGTGTTCCAAATTTTTCAATCAACTGCTTTGGGAGTTATCTGTGGAAAACTCTACTTAGATGCCATTAGCATTCTAACCAACTCTGTTATTGATCAATGATTGCCACTCATTTTAGCAGAATAGTGAAAAGGTGAATCTCCTATGGGGAAATAAATACATAATGAATTTCTAATTAAATATACACCTGGATATCTACGTTTGGTTATCTTTTCTAAATTCCAGTAGTGACATGACTGAAGAGGAAACCACAGCGTACAACCCGAGTTGGTGGCAGCATAACTGACTAATTATTTGTACTTGGAGCAAAGCTGATCTTCAATGTAAGTGGTTTGCAGATGAACTGTTCTAGCAGGAGATGAACTGTTGAAATCTGGTATTTTCTTTTCTAGGATGATTTCCTGTTCAGTGTCTCCATTTTAAGTGGGATCCTTTGCAGCATCCTGGCTGTGTTGAAGTTTATGCTGGGAAAAGTTCTGACCAGCAGAGCACTCATAACAGATGGTGAGTAAGGCCACTGTGCCCTGATCTCTGGGGGCTGAGCTCACAGCAAGGAAAGGTGCTGTTTGGATTACTTTTAGATGCTTGTCTTGCAGGAGAGCTCAACAATTTGGAATTCATTTGTCCCCATCCTTTTCTCCCCAAACTTTTGATGACTCTCCTGGCCCTTGTATCAGCACAGATGTCTCATGCCCTGAAATTTAATAAACTCTTTGTGAATCACTCCTGACCCCTTAACAGAGAGACTTGGGCCTCTCAGCCTCTTAATCAGGAAGCACAAAGGTTTCCTGGAGTCTTAGGTTTGATGCACTATTTCAAGTAAAAAGGAACTGTGTTTTCTGCATTCTACAAACATTTTCTCTCTGTACTTGCTAAGTTTCTTTTTCTCCAGCTAGTGAACCTGCACTCAGGAGTTCAGGTCAAATTCACCAGGTGCTTGCACTGAGGAAACCATCCATGATTTCTCTGCTTAAAAGCCAAACCAGCTAGAAATGTCCATGTGTATCCTCATGGGTCAGGAGGAGCTTCCTATGTGGATTTCTGAGATGCAGAGAATCTGGTGTGTGAATGCAGGAAAAGTGCATTTCAGATCCCAAACTAGCACTGGCATATAAATAAGATTTGACGTGCAATTCTTCATGTCCATTTTATTTTTATTCACTCCTGAGCACACATAGAGTCTAGGAGGTCAGGGTAAAGCAAGGGAGGGCAAAGGGCAAAGGCTTGGTGTGTCTCTGTACAAAATAGTGCAGAAATAACTGGGATTTTTTTTCCCTTAAGGCAAGAAACATTCCATCCTCTGAAACTCTTGCGGTTATAATTGAAATGCATTAATGCAGAGGGATGTGGGTGGCTGGCTGCATTGTGGTTTTAGACTGGGAGGATGGCATTGCAGAGAGCCCTTCTTGCCCAAGTGATGGAGCATGGGGACGAAGTGTGGGCTGTGACTCCTCCTCCTGTTCCACATTGATGCTTTGCTCCATGTGGAGCTGGGCTTTGGATGCACGGGGTCGGGCACAGGGACATGAAACTGAAGGGCTATTTCCACTCAGGGTCTCAGTTCAAGGAATCTGTATGGTCCCAGTCCCCACCACTGGCTCCTCACCCTCCACTTTTTGCATCTGCAGCATTTTCTCTTGGGAAGGCCAGAGAAGGCCCAGGATGTACAGCCACAGCTTCCCTGGAAAGAGCATCACCTATATGGATAGATGCAGGTGGGAGTGATGTGATCTGAGATTCTGACTTCAAAACCTGAGGCCCCCAGATTAGATGCTAGGCAGCTGACTACCATTAAGCTCATGGCATCAAACTTTCTTAGGATATTTGTTAAAATCAGGTTCCTGACGTTTCTGATTCCAGGACCTTGACTGGGGCCCAGGAATGGTCATTTCACAGCAGTGTCCCCACCCATGTGGGCACACTGAGGTTTGGTGCTGTCTCCATGGTCATATCAAGGGGCCAGGTATAGTGTCACCCCAGGAAAGGTGAACCCTGCAGTGCCCAGTGCTCCTGTGTGCCATTGGGCCCTCAGCTCTCAGAATCAGTTTTGAAGGGACCACTCCAGCTGGTGCGCTGTTCGCTTCTGCCCTTACACAGCCTGGGCTGGGGAGGCCTTTGGTTTGTGTACAGCCAGTTTTAATCCATGAAAACTGTATGAATGACAACAGGATTGGCTGCCTGGACTGAACCCTGCTCTTTCTGCTCTTCTTTGAAGTGGCATGAAGGCCTTGTTTGAAGAGCAGGGAGGGGAGCCTCAGGTTCTCCCTGTGCCCCGATACTGCCTTCCTCAGTCATAGGGTGGGAAGAAGTGAGAATCCTGAGGATCAACGCCGATGGAGTGAGATGGCGATGAACCCTGAATCAGTGGGTTTTATGGTCCTGTGTCTTGCGTCTGGAGCTCTGCTAGGAGCTGTGTGAGCTGGGGAGACCAGCTCACCATGCAGGGTCATGCCTTTCAGGTGTCTGCCCTTCAGGTGTCCTTCCCTGGACTCCAACTAGGGTTGCAACTCAGTTAAATAACCCCTATGGTTCTCATTTCATGAGAAGGACAGAAGCAGACCCAGGAGGTCTGTCACCCACCCAGACATCATGGCATTAGTGGTATCAAGTTGACCCTAATATACAGTGTCCTATAAGACCTGGGATGAACTGTGCCCTTTCCTACCTGGGGTGGATCCATAACTTGGGTCAAATGTTCACCCAAGTGTGATTTTTGTGGTCTGGTGTTTTATAATGTGAAAAAGAAAATGCCTCCCTCTGCTGCAGAGTCCTGCTTTTCTTAAGAAGGAACAACACAGAGGTGCTTGTGAGCCAGTGGAAGAATGAGTGGGCGTGGCCATATGTCTGGGTTTGGATTTTACAGCCTCTGTTGCAGTCCCTTTTTGTCTCTCTGAAGGACATAGTGCTGGCCCATGTCTTTAGGGCACAGGGCGTGACATCATTGGCATGTTCTAAAGAGCCCTCTGGTTGTCTGTGGTGGAGAACAATGGAAGGAAGTGTGATAGATGCAGAAAAGTCTATGCAGAGATGAGACCTTGGCCCTGGTAGAGGAAAGTAGTTTAATGGGTAGGGCTTGGGAATAAATGGCTGTGGGGGTTTAACAAGAGAGGATACAGAGAAATGAGTGCTATTCCAGAAGCTGTCCAAGCTATTAACCAGAAGGGGCCCCCTGCTTGGTGGGAGTAGGTGTCTCTGGCAAAACATCCAGTAGTAATTATAGCCTCAGGCTAATTGTATTGTCTGGGATCTGGGATTTACTCATTTGTTGATTAGCAGAACTGGAGAGCAATCTGTAATTACCTCCTCTCTGTTCTTCCCTTCCTTTGGGAGGTGGGCAGGGTGGGTGTGGGGAGCCATGGCTATCATTAATGGGTATTCCCTGAAGGATGGGTCTGGAACACATACCCCAGGACTGCTACCCTGTCAGAGCTAAGCCCAGCACCTTCTCTCCAGGGGAAGCAAGTTGGAAAACTGCTTTCTTTGCAGGAAGAGAGGGAGGGTGGCCCTTACCTGTCACCTGTGGGTTTCTGGATCCTGTACCAAAGCTGTGTGAACTGGGTCAGACTGACTCTGCCAGGTCCTTTGTGACCCACACATTCTCACACCTGGAAGTGGGTCTTTAGGGAAAGCGGACTGCAGGGTGTGAATGAGGGAGACCATGGTAAGTTCCAGACTAGCTCACTCTGTGTTGTGTGGTCTTGTCTGGTTTTGTTGCTTGATATTTAGTCAACATGCATATGGTGCCTATCAGGACTAGGAGTAAAATGGGTTTGTAGCCAATTCAGATGGAGGAAGACTGTGAGTGGGCACCTGGGGGAAAACTCTGAAGAGCCCCAGCTTTGGTCCTGTCCATAGGAGCAGTTGTGGCAAGTCAGGAAACCCCCTCTGACCTAGGGGCCTCTAGGGACTGCTCTCTTCCAACTCTTAACAAGAGTCTCTGATAATCTTTCAAGCATATGAAAAACTATTAGAATATTCTGCATCAAGTTAATGTGCCTAATTACAGATTCTGATCTTGTTATTAAAGCTTCTAATCAAGATGGTCCCCGACATTGTTTTGTGCCACTCTATGTCGTTAGCTGAATTCTTTAAAACAGCTCTGAGGGGACAGGGCCAAGCTCAAGTGAGTGACTGCTAGAGCCTGGTGTGCTGCTGTAGGTGAGAGGTCTGGTGCCCAGGCTCTTCCCTTGGGGTGAATGGGAAGTCTCCAAGATTAAGGGATGTGGCAGCAGACATGGAATCTGTCACTAGTCCCTGTGTGCCTCTCCCAGTGTTCTCCTGCAGGATCCTAAGATGTGAGGCTTTGTAATCACAAAACAGTGGGCCAAACAGAGCAGAGAGCAGCTCCCTCCTAGAAGATGTGGGCAAAGGAGGTGAAATCCTCAGCGTGAATCAGACACCTGTGGTCACACCCTGGCCCCTGGGCTGTTCTTGATGCTGGTGGACATAGCAGGGCTGACTTGGTGGAGCTAAGTGGACATCTAGTGGCCATCTGGGGAACCTCAGGCCTCTGCATCTTTTCTAAGCATCATTGGGCTTCAAATTGTCAGGACCACAGGTGACTGGTCTAGGCAAGGGCTGGCTCATTCACACAGGGGACAGCAAAGCTACCTCATCTGCACACCTACCCTGATAATTAATTAATGCATCTATCATTTGCATTTATAAATGCCAGACTCTATTGGAATATAGATAGCAAGTTTGAAGGACAAATTCCCTGTCCTTAAGCTTAGTTTTTAGTGAAGAGAGAAAGATGGTAAAAGAAAAATGGCAAAAATAGCAGGTGGTCAAGGATTATGAGAAAATACCAGGCAGGGGTGAAGAGGTAAGTGGGCACAGTGGGTAGACAAAGTACTTTAGGGGCTCTGAGTGGCTACCTGGGAAGGAGCCCCAAAGATAAGGAGTCTCAGTGAGTTCTCAGACACTGAGGGGGCCAGGGTAGCTAGAGTGAAGTGAGGGAGGAGCAGTAGGGGTAGCATGGGACAGGCAGGAGGGGGCTGGTGGTGTCAGCTGTGAAAAGTTTGGGTGAGATTTGAAATAGATAATGATTGGCTTTCCTTAGAAAGTTTTAGCTTTGTCCACTTCTCCAAGTGGTTGCTGGCAGGACCATGGCTTTGGGAACTCTGGGCAGGAGGGGAGTGGGTGCAGATGAGTTTGGAGGTGGCAAGAGGTGGGGAATTTAAAAATGCACTGGGGAGGTAATAGCAAGACCCACCTAATGGTTGGACTTTAGTTGTGGGATAGGTCAAGAATGGGCTCTTGAATTTCTGGCCTCCTTACCTGGGAAGAGGGTGGCACTGAACACAGAGAAGGTGGTGGTTGGAGGGTGAGATGTTTAGGAGCAAGAATTGAGATGTATGCATTTTCAGTTTGAGAAGCATGTGTGTCTGTAGCTGAAGGGAAAGGTTGTTAAAAAAAATTGAACTTTTAGAGAACTGGCTTATGGGATAGGAGGAGAATTTAGATGGAGGGAGAGTTCAGAGGAAGAGCCCAAGTGACTCCAGTGGACATGTAGAGGAGGAGCAGCAAAGGAAGCTGAGAAGGAATTGCTGGAGAGGAAGCTGGAAAACCAGGAGATGGAGGCTGAAGAAGGCAGTTTACAGAGGGAGGGGGATTTACCTATCTATGTGGCAATATGGAACCATGGATGATCTCAGCAAGGGTTTTATGAGCAGAATAGGAGGTACAAAAATGAAACTGGCTTAAGAAGGCAACTTTGAGCAGATTTCATAAAGGGCAATAATTCATGGAGATTGGGGAGGGGGACATAAATGGGAATCAAGGAAGAGGTTGGGTGGGGGCATGAATGGGGTTCACCCTAGCCACAGTGACCCAGGTGAATGGGGTGGGCCTTACACAGAGATGCTGCTGTTCCAGGTGAGTGTTGGGCTTGGTGCTGGTGAGATGAGGTATTCTTGTCTAAACCTGTGTGCTCAGCTGAGTCACCAGCTGACACTTTGAGTGATGGTAAGGTCATTGCAGTGTGTCCCAGGCCAGTCCTTGAGAGGCCCTTGCAGGCCTCAGGTTTAGCTGCCTCATTTTCATGAATGGGGAGCAGCCCCTGGAGGTCTGGGCTGATAGGACTGACCCAGGCTTTGCTCAGATCATCCCTGTCCCCCACCTGCCTCCTCTCTCCTAGGAGTACAGACTGCATGAATGTATTTATCTCAATTTTCTTGCTTGTAGCCAGAATGAGGGCTTTTGAGTTCAGCAGACACATGGCTCTGTTACATGAGGGGGTTGGGGGAGGCTGCCCCAGGAAGGAGGTGGAGCTTGGAGCTCCTCTCAGGGATACCATGATGGTAAAACAGGTGAGGACCCTTGTGGTTTATGTCATGGGGAAATTCCAGAAACTGCCCTAAGCCATTCCCTTTCTGTGTGGCTTGTGACAACTCATAGGTAAAATGGAAGTGTGATGTTCAAGTTGTAAAACTTGTGTTTCTTCCCTTTCTGGTTTTTATTGACATTTCTTCAGTTATATCATCAGTTCAAAACTTTGCATTCCTCTTCTGGGATGTTCGTGCACACCCTGGAAGGAACAGGCACAGGCTCAGATAGAATCCATCCCTGCCCTTCTTGCTCTAGATAACTTTGGTTTAATTATTGAACCCCCCTTACTTAGTGATTTCATCAGTAAAGTACATAATATACCCTCAAATTGACAAAGTTTGTATGTATCTATAACACCCAGATGGGTACCTGGCTCAGCATACACTCAACAGATGTGTGTAAGCCAGGATTTGAATGTCTGTTGTGTGCCAGGCATTGTCTTGGGCTCTGTGGATTCAACAGGGAACTGAGCTCCTGCTTTTCTCCTAAGGTCTGCATGCTAGTAGGTACCAATGCTGAGCCCCACTCCCCTGCTCACTGTCTCATATGGGCATAAGTGCTTAGAGATGAAAGCAGGTTAAGGGTGGAGACTGGGGATGGCTATCTCCAGGGAGGTCCCTGGTGACAACTGAGGGGGGACTTGAGCCATGTTGGTGTCCTAGGTGATGAGAGAGCTCTGGGCCACATCCTTTCTGCGTGTACTCCAGGATGTTGAGGCAGGCTAGTGGCTAAGACAGATCTCTGAGCACCACCGTCCAGCATCTCTCCTCCTTTTGCAGGGTTTAACTCCCTCGTGGGTGGTGTGATGGGCTTCTCCATTCTTCTGAGTGCGGAGGTGTTCAAGCACAATGCGGCGGTCTGGTACCTGGATGGCAGCATAGGCGTGCTGATCGGCCTCACCATATTTGCCTACGGGGTCAAGTATGTTTTTTCTTTCATATTTGTTTTCCTGGTGGCCAGGAGGAGAGCCACTCTTGCCACCTGCTTCCCTAGTCAGAAAATGATAGCTCAGGCTTCTCCTGATTCTGAACTGTCAAGTGGTCGGAAAAGCCTCTTCCAGGGGTCAGTTCTCCTAGGGGTTGGCACAGGAGGCAAAGATCCTAACAAGAGTATTAAAGTGTTTGAACCACAAAAGGTCTCCTTTACTTTTGTCTGATGTCTTTATGGTCCATCAATTAATCCTCCCTTTAGCCCTTCATGACTTGGAAATACAGACTTTCTTTCTCTATAATGCTGGTCTTCAGGATGCCCAGGCTAGCATCTTGGGGTGGTTTTCTTACCCATGCAGCCTCCTGCCACCCATGGGTAATGCTCTAAATGAGTTGGGAGAGGCCAGGTAGCACCACTGGGCCAGAGGCTGTGCTGTTAGATTTGGAGAACCCTTTGTAAAAAGGGATGGTCAGTGCATGCTGAGGAAAAACCCACATGGAGGGCACTCACTGAAGAAGTGGCACACTGGCATGGCCAACTCTGGATCCAGCATCTGTTTCTGAAAGGCACTGTGCTTTTAAATGTTAAAACCCTTCCCAGCTCCCACTAGGACCTCTATACTCAAAACCAGGAGCAGTTACAAGCGTTGGTGAGGAGCGGGGTGGGGGGGTGGGGTGGGGATGGGAATATGTATGGTGAGCCTGCTTTGAAGAATAATTTGGCAGTTTCTCAAAATGTTAAACATGGGGCTACCACTTGACCCCGAAATTCTGCTCCTTGGGATGTGCTCTGGAGGACTGAAGCCAAATCCATGCCAGAACTTGTACCCAAATGTTCATGGCAGTGTTTTTCATAATGGGCACAAGTAGAAACCACCCATTACCTGAAGAAAAAATACAGGGGGCTATTATTTATCCCTAAAGGGAACGGAGAACTGGTACACAGTATGACTTCGATGAACTTTAAACATTATACCAAATGAAAGAAGCCGGATAAAGGTGGCCCATATACTGTATGATGATTTCTTTGGATTTGCCTACTCTGGATATTTCAGGCCGAAGTGGAGTATTGGTTGCTAATGGGGTGAAGGACTGCTAGTGGGAATGGGTTTCTTTTGGGGATAAAAACATTCTGGAATTAAGGTAATGGGGATGATTACACGAATTCATGGACATATTAGAAACCACTGAATGGATACCTATGGTACATGAATGACCTCAGAAAACGAGTCTCCTCTGTTCTTCCCCGAACTCTGCAGTGGGCCTGGTGTCACGGTGACAGTGTCTGTCTTCCTGTTTGCAGGCTTCTCATCGACATGGTGCCAAGGGTGAGGCAGACGCGACACTATGAGATGTTTGAGTGAAGGTGGCCCTGGGGACCAAGGAGGGCTGCTCTGCATGAAGACCGTCAGGACGACGAAAAGTTTCCACGTAGGCAGACGGTGCCAATATTTAACTGAACATCAGTTTCTTTTTTTGGAAGTCTTCTTTCATACAGTTTGTCATCACAGGACAAGGTCTGCCCAGTGGGTGCATCTGCCCTGTACCCTCACTCCGCTGCCCCCCATCACACACTTAGGACAATGCCTGCAGGAGGGGACACACTTCCCCATCTCAAGCCGGAACTGACATTTTCTGTTTTCTGGAGTAAAACAGTTCTTGGGGTAGGATAAGATCTCTGCTTGGCAGAAAGCCCAACTCTGGTGCTCTAAGCCTGAAACAGATAGCGAGCAGGTCCCTCTCCTCTGGACTGTGTGTGGCCCCAGCCACCTCCTAGTTCTAAGGATTCTTCTCTCCTGGCAGATTTTAAGGGAAGACTGGGCCCTTTAGTCCCTCATCCCCTTACGTAACCAGAACCATCAGTGTATCACTAATTTCTATCAGTGTGTTTCATTAGTTTCATACTGTTTTACTAATCCTAAATCTAAACAGATTTGTTCTAAAGAAGACCATTCTATTTTTTAAAGTACTTAGTGACATATGTATGAGCTTTGCATGGACGAGCTAAATAAGCACATGACCCTTTCTCATACACTCAGAACCTGCACATCCATGTAAAAACAGGATCCATTTTTGAGAGATGTGAAACTAGTTTATTTGTAATAAATAATTATATAATCTATCTGTATATGCATATATCTATATGCTGTGTCAAGTGGTAATGATACATTACAGTCTGTGAGAGATGGTTTACTCCTCTGTAAGGAACAAGATGTTCTCCGTTTATGTAAGGTTAGGTATAGATTCTGTAGACTCCATTCCCCTTACCCTGCAGCGTTCTGTACCTCTCACAGTACTGTCTGCCCAATAAAGACCTTTACCTGTTTTGTACGGCACAATGAGGCAATCTTTGAGAGTCGTCATCATGCGACACCAACAAAATCGGGGCTTGCCATCATGGGCAGGTTTTCCATTGCAGCTGAAGGATGATATATGGGAATGGTTGCTTTTGCTTCTAGTGGGAGAGCAGAGACCTTGAACTGTTGTTTTTGCTTCTACAAGGCAGGACCACTGCACATTCAATTTCCTGGACCAGAGCATGGCTGATTCCTGGGTCCTCCACTCCAGCCTTCAGTGCCCTGTCTCCCACTGGGCTGGTTAAAGGAAGGTATGGGTTAAGCACCCCTAATCCATAAACCCTGGAATCAAAATGCTCTGAGATCCACAATACTTCGAGAGCCAATATGATACCACAAGTATAGAACTTCATTTGACCCCATGTGCAAAACACAAGTGCACTGAAGATACTGTACAAAATGACCCTCAGGCTATGTCTAAGATATACAGGAAACAAATGAGTTTCAATAGACTTGGGTCCCATCCTGGAGGGGTCTCGTTATGTACATGTAAATATCCCACAATCTGAAATCTGAAACACTTGTCCCAAACATTTCAGTTAAGGGACACTTAACCTGTAGCTTGTTCTGCCAAGTCACACAGCACTCACTCAGACGGGCCTTCTGTGAGATGTCTGCACGTAGCACAGAAAAAGTCTTGTGAGCAAGTGTGATAGATGCAGGATTCAATATTTTTCTTTTCTGTAGATTTTCTCACTGTAGCTAATACACATTGTAGAAGTTTAGGGAAAGTTGATGACGAGGTAGCAATCCCCAAACTGAGGTTCTCTGTATTTCCTTGGCACCTTTTTTTTTTTTTTTTTTTTTTTAAGGATTTGTGTAGCCTCTCTGTTGTAGCCAGTCACCAGGCAGTGCCTGGGTTTTAGAGTCCAGGCTCGGTCCAGCTCCTTGATGTAGCCTTGTGCTTCCAGGACATCTGCCTGACCAAGCACTCAAGATCCACTGATTCCTGGTTCAAACAATGCTGTTTTTGAAGGGAGAAATGTGGTATAGGTCCAGCAAGTTCTTGCACTTAGGTAGTCTTTTTAGAGCCATTTTACTAGCCCATTTGGAAAGATTTTTAAATGTTTGGTGCAGTGATTGACAGTTGTCTCAAAAAAAAAAAGAAAATGTCTAGCAGTTCACTGATTCAGCTCCTTGCTAAGTGAGTACAGGGCAGGGAGAGTGGTCTGACCTGATTGGTAGATATGCTGTAGGGAGAGAATGCTTAGTTCTGAAAGTTATTCCCTCCACAACCTCCTTTCTAGCAGCCTTTTTGAGTTTGTAAACTGTGAGATGCAACTGGACAGCATGCATCTGTGGCTGACCCTGTACCCAGCCAGCCCTCACAAAAACCACTCCCACCTGTCACACAAGAAAAGTTTATTGAAAAATAAAATTCTCCCTAGTTTTCTCTACAACAGTGGAAAACAAAGCAGAGCTCTCTATGCCAGTACAGTAACATTTGAACAGTGACACCTTATTTGCAGAATCCTGCACGACTTAACCCCAGAAGTGAACAGTAGAAAACAGTTGTACCAGGATTTGTTTGAAGACACAGACGCTAATGACCATTAGCTAAAAACATCAAGGTTGTGACAGCAACAACAGTAGAAGGGATACACCATCTCCTTTGGCATCAATTGTTATGCTATGGTCCTGTTAATACTTGGGCAGGACAGTGAGCAAGATGCATCTCACGTTTGTACCATCTCAGCTTTGGCAGACACGAAAGATGAAAGGTTCCTGACCCACCACTGCATCTGAGTGCCCACTACCACTCTCCCTCTCCCACCGATCCTCCATAGTCAGTGACCCTGCCTGCCAAATGGGCACATGCCTTTCCTGCTGTGAGGGTCAGGGAAGGGGTGAGGGACAGTCTTAAGGCGCGGCAGAATCTTGGTTAGAGAGTGAGGCTTTGAAGGAGGTAAATTCCAATCATCGCAACCATAGAACTATAAGACTGCCAATCAGCTGAAGAGAAACCAAAGGAATTTGAAAAAGATACCAAACTCCAGAAAATTCCCCCATATTCCATAATCACAATCTATCCAGAGTTGAGTCAACATGGACGGACAGGAGATAAAACCTTACAATTCACCAGGGAAGCAAGAGGCTAAATCCACCCCCCACCCCGCCCCCAAACAAACAGAAAACTGATATTTAAGTGAGTTGGGAAAACATCATTAAACCAAGAGTAGCCTCTGGGGGAATGTTCTGTAAAGGGCCAAAATCTGTGCCCTGGACATCAGGTGGCTTTCCCTGGGGAGGTGGGTTTTCTCTGGGACCAGGCCCTGGAATTAACCTTTATTTGGTGGAAACATGGGGTAACCAGCCTGTTAAGAGCCACCCTGACCAGCAGGGGGCAGCAAAGGGATTTCCTGGGGAATGTATAAATTTCATTGGTCATTCTTTCCTCTTAAATGACACAGGAAAGTCTCCATTATTGCATTGCAGAGGCATAGGGTTAACTTTAATTCAAAGTGTACAATCTATCTGAGATCTCCTTTAAATTTCTAACTCAAAAAGTTCTTCAAAGAAAGCCCTGGAATGTTCCAGAAGACATCAGTGGGGTGAGGTCCTGTATGTGGCCAAAGGTCACCTTTACCTTTTTCAATTCCAGTTAATAAAGTCTTGCAGCCTTGTTTCATTGGGAGCTGAAGTCTGGCATATTTTCAAATCAGTGCATTCAGGAATACAGTAAGATTTCAACTATCAGGGTAGGCACAGAACTTGTACAATCTAAACCAGTAATTCCTACAATACTTGGTCAACTTGGAATAATATTTTTATGTAGGTATTATTTTTAATTAACAGATAGGGAGTGAGCTCTTTATTTCTCAGGCTTTATGAAATGCTAATAACAATATTTTAACATTTACTAGGGCTTACTAGGTGCCAGACACTGTGCTAAAACACTGAATCCTCACAAAACCCTAAGTGCTAAGAAAGTTAGGGTAACTTTTTTTCTGCATCCAGGACTATACAGCTAATTTGGTCTTTTGCTATATGTAAAAAAACTTGGTGTTCCATTTTTTGTTGAAGCCAACAAGAATGAAAGGAACTCACCCTCAGCTTTACAGAACTGTCAGCTTCCTAAATGAGTATGGATCTATTTATGTTCACCCACTTAGTTACATGAAGATGCTCTGCAACCTCATAGGGAAGGATAGGATTTAGAATAAAGCCAATATGGAAATTAAAACATTTTCAAATAAATAAAACAATCCAGGCTTGGGATAGTAACACATACAACATGGCCTGTCGTTAACAAAATATCTTTTTTTTTTCTTTTAATCAAGAATTTTTGAAGCCAGGTACAGCGGTACATGCCTGTAATCCCAGCTACTTGGGAGGTAGAGGCAGGAAGATCACCAAGTTCAAGACCAGCCTGGGCAACTTAGCGAGACCCTGTCTCAAAAAATAATTAAAAAGGGATGGGGGGAACTGGGGATGTAACTCAGTGGTAGAGCACTTGCCTAGCACGTGCAAGGTTCTAGGTCAATCCCCAATACTTAATGTAAAAAAAAAATATTGAGGGGCATAGGAGAAGGTAGCAGTGTCTAACTATATACAGTCTAGGTAAACCACCTTGGTCTGATCTAAAAAGCACACACCCACCTATAAACTACAGCTTCAGTCAAATCCATTTCATTGACACTTGCACTTCCAGTGAATTATACTGCAGCTGTACTCCCAAAGGAGTAATTATTCACCTTCATTAAATCCTGCATTCATTCATCCACCAAGGAAATAAAAAAAAGGGGGCACAGAGTCTTCCACTTTCGTGATACTAACCAGCCCAAGTATTATCGGGCTACTGCTTCAGATGAGTTCAATGCAATCCCTCCCTGGGCTGGCCTCCTGCCTCAGCCACATCTCAGCAAGTGACAGGGTAGCAGGCAGCTTGGTAACTAGCAGTCCCAAGACAGATTCACACTGTGGCCCAGTCTGGAGGAAGCCAGCCCTTCCCTTGGACTTCTCATGATTTCATACCCTCCTCGGGGGGTGAATAGCCTGATACATAGACTGTGGCCTAGGGGCCATTTCTGGTGCCCAGCTGGAACATCTGTAGTCACTCAAGGACCTAACACTCCTCAACAGCACCCAGATTCCAAAACCCAACCCCAAAGAAAAGTGAAAAGGCACAGCAGGAAAATAAACAACACCAAGAGACAGACTCTAACATTCCAAACACACAGCAAACACAAAAAGTAAACTATAATAAGCACTGACAAAAACCCAATCAAAGCAAAAATGCAAAAAGCATCTCCATTTGTACATGTGCAAATCAAATTGCATACACAAAATAAATGAGGTGTTTACTGGCATTCAAAGAAATGTGTTTTCCCTTTCCGGAGTGTTTACTCTGGAAAGTATTTACCTTACAAAGGAAAGCTTTCTCTTAATAAATTAGATGTTTTTCCCTTAAGTTTTTGTCTCATGATCACAATGGGAAAAATAATTCCAAAGGCCAGGCAAGATATGATTATAGCACAGGAAAACATCATTCCTGATTTCGGATCTCTCTCCCTGTGGATTGGTTATCAATTACAAATCAGTTTAGGTTTCCATATAAAAATAGCAATGGTAAAACTGCTGCAGGCGCCCAGCCCACACTATCAGAGGCACCATCCTTTTTCTTCTTCACACCCCACACTGGGCCAATGGAAGCCCCTCCCCAGTTTCCCCTAGAGAACCCAACTTGGAACAAGTCATAGGAGGTCTCGGGACTGGTACACATTCAGGTATCACCAACTCCATCAACAATGCCCTTAACAACAGGAGTGTGGGTTACTTTGCCCCAAGAGCAGCAGCCCCAGCCAGGGAACTTAGGTTTATTTCCAGCTGAGACTAGACTTAGAAAGTCAGAGGAATTTTTAAATGGGAGAAAGTGCTCTTCTGGGCTGCCTGATAAGAGGATCAGAAAGGTGAAGAGACATCCCGAGTCCAGGGACAGATAGGGAGTGATGCTTGAAGCTTCTGCCAGGGACAATGTT